CCACCCAGCCACACAGCCAGCCATGGAGTAAGACTGAAAGTAAAATATACAGAAGTAAGAAAAGGAAAAAGCCCAGAGACAAAAGGTAGATGGGATAGTTTAAGTTAAGAAAAGCTGGTAAGAAACAAGTCAAGCTAAGGCTGGGCATTTATAATTGAGAATAAGCCTCCATGTTTGGTTTATTTGGGAGCTGGGTGGCAGGCTCCCAAAGAGACAAAGAGTAAAAAACAAACAACTACCTTTTGACACCCAATGCAGGGCTAGAGTGGAAGAAAAACAACCAACAGCAGTTTCTGGCGATCCGACTGAGCTCCTCACACCTGCACAGTGAGGGCTTCACTGACCAAGCTTCCTCCCATCACCTGAAATGGCCGATCTTAAGTGTCAGCATCAAAGAGTTTTACATATGTGTATATGTACATGAGCCCTACAAACACAAGATAGAGAATAGCCCAAGCACCCCAAAAGACTCCCTCTGAATCTTCCTCACCTGATATCTCTTTCCTTGAGATATCACTTTTCTGATATTCATAGGTTAAGGCTGCTTGTTCAGTTTCACAGATGTGGGATTAGGTAATAGATAACATATACTCTGTTTTCCTGAATTTTCTCATTCAACATTGTATCTATAAGATCCTTTGGTTTATTGGGTATGAGGTGTGACTGAAAAAGAAATAAGAGTCCCAGAAATGACAACCTTGAATATCTTGAAAGGGTCACCTTGAGAGGCTGTACCTACTTCGGTTTGTTCTGAAACACACTCTACAATCTTCTTTATAGATAATGGGAAAAACAGCTCTATATGCTGTAGAGGAGTGTTCTAGAGGCGTGCTTAATTCTTAAATTTACCCTAAGTTTCTTTCTATTATTTGAATGTTGTTATTCTTTTCAGAATTAATGTTGAAACTTAGCCTCCATTATTCAGTGTGAGGGATACAGTGTTGTGAGGAATGGCCATGAGAACATGCTTGAGTCTTGGGGTTCTATTCTCATTGAGATCTGGTTCCTTTATAAGGGAGCTTAATGGAGAGTATTCGTCTCTTTTACTATGTCAGAATAAAGTGTTCACGGTGCCATCTTGGAAGCAGATGCCTGTGGTTGTTGGGGATATAGCTCCGTGGTGGAAAAATTACTTAGCAATGCTCAAGGTCCTTGGGTTCAACCTGTAGCATCCCTGACCAACCCAACCAACCAAGGTCAGGTCTTCCTCAGACACTGAAGCTGCCCATGTTTTCTTTGCTCTTGTTCGCCCAGCAATGGTGAGAAAGAGGATTCTCACAGTTGTGGATTCCCCTCATTTCAGCAGCTCACGCACACACACTCAGGCACTCTTCTTTACCTGGCGAATTTGTAAGTCGCTTGCAGAGCAGAATGTGCTCCTCCAAATAATGACTAATGCACACCACAGAGTACTACAGGATAATGTCATTTGACCTCCACAAAACATACATTTTAAAAAAAATTTCAAGACAGGGTCTCTCTATGTCGCCTTGGCTGTCCTGGAACTCTCTGTAGACCAGGCTGGCCTTGAACTCACAGAGATCCTCCTGTCTCTGCTTCCTTACCTACAGGATCAAAGGTATGCACCGTCATACCTGACAAAACACACATTTATTATTTTCAATATGAAACCATACAGAAACCCACAGAGAATAAATAACCCACCCCAAAGTATATAGCCAGGAAACAGTTGCGCTGAAGTTTCAGTGCAAGCCCAGTTCTGTTATACAGCTGGTGTCTTCTCTGGATACTCAGGAAAAATCTCTGCAACTTTTCTGAGCAATGTTGACATTTGACAAAGTAGCCTCTACACTGATTCCCTGGACAGCAAAATAGGCTCTCTTATTGCGAGCCCAAAGTCCACCACTGTGCTTTGAGCACTGTCTAGGCATTAGCAACAGGGCTCACTGTGGCCTGAAGGGCTCACTGGGTGATATTAATTAGCATGTGTATTATGGTAAGTTGAATCTGGCAAAGAAATTTGAACAGGGTTAATGTCACGGCTCTAACTCTTGCTAGCTATTGTGATTCGGGGATGAGTATTTAACATTTTCAAAGTCTTTTTCTTTTGTGTATGATGGAAATGAATGGTGATACCTCTCTTATGAAGTTGTGTTAGCATTAAGTGGCTCAAGAACTAATGTGATGTCTGGAAATAGTTACCAATAACTAACTCTGCAGCTTTCTTTCTCTTGATAGAAGAGAATGCCCCCTCCTGAGCAGAGAGCATGGAGAACAGAGCTTTATCAAGGTAATGTGATGCCAAGGGAGAATGTTAGACTGGGTTGGTGGGAATGTTTGTAAAAGTGAGAAAAGGATCACATTGGCAGGCCGATATTGGCTACTCACATAATCAATTCATTTACTTCTCACAGCCAAAACATGGCCATTAAAAGGGTTTAGTTGGATGCTTCCCTCTTTCTGTATCGATTCCTTTTCAGTGAAAATATTGATAAGTTTGTATAGATCGGGACCTTAAAGTTACTTAATTATTGATCAAAACAGTTGCTCAGGCTGAGCAGGTGGGTTTTCACTGTCTAACCACGAGAAGAAACAGGCAGGTTTTCTGCAGGATAACGTGGGCCCCAAAGCTCCCCCGCGCCCAGTGGGCTCCTTTGCAGCAGGTCTCAGCCTCTGCTTTTTGAGCTGCAGCATTTTTACCCAAGATGCTTCTCCACATGCTATGTGTTCGTCAGAAACTGGGAAGAAGGCAGACAAAGCAGTACGGCCCACAGCAATTAGACTTGATTTGGGGCGAGGCAGAAATGCGAATATGGATTTGAAGTCATTTGGGGGTACATTTTATGATCCATTCTGTCCACTTTTAATCAGTATATAACCCGCCCGAACAAGGCATAGTAGTAATTAAGGGACCCCCCCAAACCACGGAGATCAGTGAAACCTGTCCCTTAACCTGATGGAACTGAAAGATTAAATAAGGGCCTCAGGTGAGCATACAGTCACTGTTCCCATTGCCACAGGTGCTGACAGAAGCAACTTCAGCAACTTGGGGGAAATGTGTCTTGCTTCACAATTTCATAGGGCACGGTGCGTAAGAGCAGGGAAGGCATGGCGGCTGGAACAGAGTTTTCTCCTGCCGCTTCAGGTCTCTTCATAGGTTGCTGTGCTCTGCCCGTCATTTAATTTTGGCCAACCTCGTTACATTCTAATTGATGTATGATTAGTGGTATATGTGTGAAGTGCATAATTTGCTAACTTTTGACATCTGCACCCACTTGATAACTCCATCATCAGAATGAAGATAATGAACACGGTTATCACTCTCAAATGCTTCTGCGTGCCCCTTCCTGCTGTCTCCCGGGTGTCCTCTTCCCTCCACCTCTGGTCCCCAGGCTACAGCTGACCTGCTTTCTGTCACTGCAGATCAATCTGTGCTTTGTAGATTTCTATATGCACAGGAGTGTCTGTGATGAGCATTTTATAAGCTGGCTTCTTTCACTGAAGGCAGTTTTGAGAAAAACATGCATTCTGTACCAATCAACAGTTCGTTGCCTTTTGTTGGTGGGGGGTGTTAAGATACATGCATTTATCATTCATTTGATTAATTGGTCTTTTCACCTGTTCTTAAACCTTTGAGTTGTATCCAGCTTGGAGTTATTGTGGATATTTGTACACAAGTTTTCATGTGATTTTTATTTATCTTAGAGCAGAGTGTCTGGGTCATTGTATTTATGCATATTTTAAGACACTATTTTCCAAAGAGGTTGTGCTATTTTATTGTCACTAGCAATGGCTGAGGGTGTCAGATTCTCCATGTCCCTTATTAATAATGGGTGTGATTCATCCTTCCATTTTCCCCATTCCAATAGGTGTGGTTTTACATTTTAACTTTCTGGCCACTAACGATGCCAGCCCTCTTTTCAGGCATTCATTTATTAACCGTGAATAATTGGAGTTTTGTGTTTGACGCTTTTGCCCATTTATTTAGTTTCTCTCCTTTTTTTTTCTGTTAAGAGGTTTTTCTGAGGAAGAGAAGCGTGCATTCTGATTATAAAATACACGTGTGTTTGTTTTTATGTAGCGTGTGTTTTGGGTATTGCATTCTTTCCTTAATTCTTTGTTGTTATGTACATCAAATGTAGTTTTATCACAGATCTGGAATTTTCAATTCCTGAAGACCAGTTTTGGCTCTCCAGTCCTCTCGCTTCCCCTTATATCTGCAGTTGCTTCCTCCCTCTCCTCCCCTCCCTTCTCCTCCCCTCTTCCCTTCCTCCCCTCTCCTCCCCTCTCCTTCCCTCTCCTCTCCCCTTCCTCCCCTCCCCTCTCCTCCATCCCTTTGTTTCTCTTTCTTTCTTTCTTTCTTTCTTTCTTTCTTTCTTTCTTTCTTTCTTTCTTTCTTTCTTTCTTTCTTTCTTCTTTCTTTCTTTCTTTCTTTCTTTCTTTCTTTCTCTCTCTCTCTTTCTCTCTCTCTCTCTTTCTTTCTTTCCTTTTTTCTTCACTTCCCCCTTCTCCCTTCTCTTCCCTCTCCTCTGCCTCTCCTTCATCACGTACATAAGATGTTCACCAGTGTTCTAACTTGGTGAACAGGTAAAGTCAGGTGACTCAGACATATGGCACCATGGGCAGTCACACATTTTGGTAGTTTCAGAGGTACAGTGTTGAAAGAGTTACCTTTCAACAATAAGAAATAGAGAAGAACAGGTGAGGAGTAAGGTCTGGTCACAGCCAATGTCAAATCCGTAGACTGCTATTATGCCTCCTTCTTGGTTGTAGGTTGACTATCCAAAATACTGAGGTGATGGAGAAGAATGAAATAGAAATGGAGGCCATGAGGATCAGAAGAGAGAGTCTTAAGAGTGAGGAACCATAACAGCGAGGCTCAAACTTGAGATCTTGGAGAACCATCCAGAGAAACACCTGGACTTTCTATGCACCACATGCAGAGCAGTTATAACAAAGACAGGTAGAAGGTAGCCCAGGAATCTGCATTTCAACAGGAATTGGTTGAGGTTCACAGTCAAGAGCAAAATTACTACTCTTGCTGTAATACTTGTTCAGGTGCCATGAAAATCACTGCGAAAAAGACTCAGTGAGTCTAAGCTGGCAATGAAGATCTAACTAGATATTTATCAGATGCATTTCTGGTGAACAAATGAAAATAATCGGTACTCAATGGATGAATGAATTTATGTAAACATTTCTGTGTCTATAAGCCTCGATTATAATACTCGCATTAACTATTGATGTCAGTATGATCAGTGCCGTTGCTGTACTTGTTTTAAAATCCATGCTTGCTTGTGTATGGCAATCTAGTTTGAACTATAAAACAACGTAGCAAGTCTTTTTCAAAGTAGTTAAAATTCGAACTTCAGTCTAATGCAAGCAACACATTCATGGATTTGGCATTAAAAATACAGAAACTATTGAAGCTTCTCTAGGTTTGTGAATGTTTAAACAAAGGGGAAAAACACCAGTTAAAGGGAAATTTAACACCTGTGGTCAGTTGTAAATAGCTATTCTTTATGATACGTCATATTTCTTCAAATATTTCCCTGTGATGTGCAACAATGAATACACAAGTGACAGGATTCAAAGATGCTGACGATGTTCAGTTTATTTTGACCATTTTATGCATTGCAACAGATGAAATTGTTCTGGTACAGAGAGAGACATAGGAGAGAAGAGGAGAAAGGAGAGGAGAGGGGAGGAGAAGAGAGGGGAGAGAAGGGGGAAGAAAGAGGGGAGGGGAGAAAAGGAGAGGAAGAAAGGGGAGGAGAAGGGAAGGGAGCTAAAATTGGTCTTTGGAGTTTTTCCTTTTTCTTTCTTTTTTCCCTGCAAGACAGGGTTTCTCTGTGTAGCCCAGGCTGTCCTAGAACTCGCTCTGTAGACCAGGCTGGCCTCAAACTCAGAGATCCACCTGCCTCTGTCTTCAGAGTGCTGGGATTGAAGGTGTGCAACACAACTCCTCAGCTGGTCTTCATGAATTTCAAAATGCCATGTCTGGGATAAAAATGTGCTAAATGTTTGTAAAAATGCATACAGCATTAAAATGGAGAAATGTTTCTTGGTTACTGGCCAATTTTCCTTTCCACATCTTAGGATAATCAATTTATATCTACTCTAGTAGTATTAAAATCCTTATTAAACTTATTTTTACCAAGAAATAATTTTGGTTTTCTAACAAGACAGTTAACCCTATTGGTAAATACTAGAACAGGCTTGAGTTTCATAAACTCCTCATAAAGTTGTGAATTAAGTCAGCAATATAAGTAAGGACAAAGGGGTTATCTTTGTGGATTTCTGTGGGCCTCTTTAGCACTTTGTTTCTTCCTTTTCTCATGTGGTCTTCATTTACCATGGTCTCCTATTCCTTGTTCTCCCTCTCTGTTCTTGATCCAGCTGGGATGGAGAGATGGCTCAGCCGTTAAAGGCTAGGCTCACGGCCAAGGCAACTCTTAGAAAAGAAAGCTTTTAATTGGAGCTGGCTTACAGTTCAGAGGTTTAGTCCATTGTCATCATGGTGGGAAGCATGGTGGCACACAGGCAGATGTGGTTCTGGAGAAGAGTTCTACATCTGGATCCACAGGCAGCAGGAAGGAGAGAGACATTGGGTCTGGCTGGACTGAGCACCTGAAACTCCAAAGCCATCCCCAGTGACATATGTCCCCCAACAAGGCCACATCTACGGCAATGGGGCCACACCTCTTAATCCCTGTCAACGCCCCATGACAAAGCAAATCTGTGAGCCTATGCGAGTCCGTTCTTCTCAGACCTCCCACTGTTCATAGCTCCCCAATCTGGATGCCTTTTGTGGAAATGACTTTAAACTATTTATTAGTTATTATTATTATATTATTATTAGTGTGGATGTGTTTGTACATGCATGATATGTGTGTGTGTGTGTGAGTACAGGTATGTGGAGGTCAGAGAACAATTTTGGTGAGTTGGTTTTCTCCTTCCATGGTGGGTCATGGGGATGAAACTCAGATCATAAGGCTTGTGCTGAAAATACTTTTACTCACTGAACTGAGCTATTTCACTGTTACTTATTTCTGGATCCACAGCACCTAGCAAAAGGCCAAGCTTGCACGAGTGTGTGTGTGTGTGTGTGTGTGTGTGTGTGTGTGTGTGTGTGTGTAAATAGGATTCGTTTCTGCATGCACACAGACACAGGCACACACACAGACATGCACATACAACACAACACACACACACACAAGGCATACAGAGAGACACATACCCCATACGTGCAGAGATACAAAAACACATACACAGAGGCATACACACACACACACACACACACACACACACACAAAGACAATGCACATAACACTCAAAATGCACACAGAGATACACACTTCTCACATGCAGAGATATGGGCATACACATACACACAACACAGACACAGAGAGACCATACACCCCACATATGTAGAAATACATACACACACACAAACAGCACACAGTCATACATACATAACACACACAAAACATGCACAACACACAGACACACACCACATATGCAGAGATACAGATACACAATATACACAGAGAGACCACACACACACAACACACACTTCAATAAACAGTGGTACTGCAAAGATCTGTTTTTATTTCCCCCTAAAAATAACAAATTGCTCTTATTTTTTTATTGGCTAGTACATCAAACACTGTATTTCCACTTCTTTCCTGGGTGACTGTAGTGGGCAGCCATTCTAGCTTCGTTCTGGAAGTCCCAACCCCCATTGAGGCTTCGGTAACTGTCACACCTTCAAGGCGGGGCCAAGGGAGGACTCTGAAGACCCGAAATCCAGATGCGCCGGCTCTCTTGGTTCCTGGACCCTGGACACTGGAGGTAGACCGAGCAGAGTTCTCCAGAGAACACTGCCAGACTGCCTTTCCCGGACCCTGTAAACTATCCCTTCACTTATAAGTTACCCCACAAAATAAACCTCCCTTTTAACTCCACGGAGTGGCCTTAATAATTTCACCAATAGGTGATTTTCTGAATGTGCATGCAGTCTCTGCAAGTGGTGAGTCTCCTCTTCACCTGGTAAGATTTTCATTGACAGCATACTTAAATTTATAAGTAAACTTTTGGGGAATGATATTTCTTTCTGTTATTGTATTTCTACATTCATTTGTCTTATTTAATAGCTTTAAATAAAAATGCATAAATTTCCCATAAAAATCTTACACATTTAGCTGTATAGATTTATTGCTAGGCATTGTATACTTTTGTTGCTATAATAAATGAACAGATTTATTGATGTAAATATTCAATAAATGGCACTAGGCAAATTAATTATTCTTATGGGGAATATAGAAACAACTTTTTACATTATATCCTTCACAATCATTAATTTCAGGTAAAGACTTAAAATTATCATAAAATTTCAGAAGAAAATGTAGGAGCACATATGTACTTTTGCCTATCTGTCTGCCTATCCTCTATCTATTATGTATAAATATATACATTGTCTTTAGACAATTTGTTGAGGTGTAAGTTGGGATGTACCAACCAATAAGACAGACTTAACGAGTGCATTTCTGACGTGTGTGTACACCCGTGGGGCTATCTGTCGTCAGAGTCCTGGCAACTCTGACGGCCGCCACCTCCAGCCTCTGATGCCTCTTTGCAATCACTTCGACCGCTATCTCATTGCCAAAGTAAATTATTCCAAGTTTAGTGGCTTAAGCAACACGAGTGGATTGTGTTATAGTTCTGAAGACTGGGAGTCCAAAACCCCGTTCTGGTGGGCTAATGCAAGGCACCAATGAGGCTGATTTGTTTTAGCGGCTGTAGCAGGGACCTGTTCCCCTGCCTTTTCCAGAGTGCCATCTGTGTTCTTGGCCTCACGATTCTTCCCTAGTCGCTCGCAATCTCTTCTGTGGCCACTTGTCCTGCTCCTCTCTGCTCCTCCCGACCCTTATCATGTGCTTATGGCCACACTGGGCTCTCGGAGTCAAACCGGACAACCCCCCAGTGGTTGTTACCACAGCCTTATAATGCAGTTTGAAGTCAGCCCTGGGCTATTCTCAGTTCTTTTTATATGAAAATTAGAACACATTTATAAATTTCTAAAAAAAAAAAAAGTCTTGCTAATATTTTGACTGAGATTGTAGTGAGTCTGGATCATTTTGGAGAAATTTGAAAAATAGACAATAATTCTCTTTAGCCCCAAACAAGGGCTTAATCTAATTTTCTCTCAATGTTTTATAGTCTTCATTGTACATATTTTTTTATATCCTTGAGAAGGTCTATTTTCATAAGTGTATGGTTTTGGTTTTTTTTTTTTGGTTTTTTTGAGACAGGGTTTCTCTGTGTAGCTTTGTGCCTTTCCTGGATCTCGCTCTGTAGACCAGGTTGGCCTCGAACTCACAGAGATCTGCCTGCCTCTTCCTCCCGAGTGCTGGGATTAAAGGCATGCGCCACCACCGCCCGGCATAAGTGTATGGTATTTTAAATTCTGTGTTTCAAGTCCGGTTCCTGAATATTTATTACTAATATAAACGGACTTTTGATATATTGGTCTTAGACTTGGTAGTTCTTCTTGGCCTCAGGTAGTCCATTATTATTTTTATACTGTTCCTTTTACATCAGCTTCACGATCGTGTTGTTTGTAAGCGCGGCTTTTTACTTATTCCTCTCACACAAAAATGGCTGCGTCTCTCCCTTCTTCCCATCACCCACTGCCATGCTTTGCTGTAAATGAAAACTTTTAGCAACGGAGGCCTCTCTAATGCTCTGTTAGCCTGCTTATTCTTAATTTTTGTTACATCTGATATTAATGGAGGTACAGCAACTTTCTGTCTGTTATCTTTTTCATCTTTTTTGTTTTTTATGGTTTCTTTATGTTGTATGTGTCCCGCATGCAGCACACGGACTATGTGGCTTTTTGTGTAGTCTGTTGCTGTAACTTTAGTGGCAATTCTAGTGTAGTTAATTTATCACTGTCACTTGTCTCTTTGCAGTCATTTTAATGCTTTGTTTTGGCTTGGTTTAAGTTTTAAAAATTTCTTCCTTTGGATTAATTGAGATAGTCTTCTCAGTTTTTCCATTCAGTAGCTTGAAACTTACACATTTTTTGATTTATTATTCTGATATCTTGATATATTAACACTTTTCTATCTTTACAAGTTATATTTTTAGCCAATAGTTTTATCTCTGTCCCAAATGAGTTAAAGAATTTTAAAACTGTGATGATATTGTGTTCCCCAATATATTGTACACTCTAATAAACTTATCTGGGGTCAGAGAACAGAACAGCCACTAGATACAGAGGCCAAAAAATGGTGGTACACACACCTGTAATCCTAGCATTCAGGAGGCAGAAATCCTTCTGGATCTCTGTGAGTTCAAAGCCACACTGGAAACAGCCAGGCATGGTGACACATGCTTTTAACCCCAGGAAGTGATGGCAGGAGGCAGAAATGTATATAAGGCATGAGGACCAGAAACTAATACTGTTAAGCTTTTAGGCTTTTAGCGGCAGCTTAGCTGAGATCCATTCTGGATGAGGACTCAGAGGCTTCTAGTTTGAGGAAACAGGATCAGCTGAGGAACTGGCGAGGTGAGGTAGCTGTGGCTTTTTCTGCTTCTCTGATCTTCCAGCATTCACCCCAATACCTGGCTTCAGGTTTGATTTTATTAATAAGACCTTTTAAGATTCGTGCTACATAAAACTACAACCATTTTGTTATTTCATCTATGTTCTAGTGTCCGTTTTGTTTCTTAGTCTCATTTCAAATCAAACACTATTGTTTAAATACTGTTTACATGTTTAATGTTGGTAGTACAATTTATTTTTTTGTCTGTGTCCAATGTCCTAAAACATTAATTGAATCTCCCAGAATGAGGGAAAGAACTCAATGAAAAGGAACTCTACGGAGCTCAAGGTCGCTCCAGTGCTGCCCTGGGTGAGCAGGGGAGCACTCCAGGGCTCCAGGGGAGCTGGAATGCTGTGCTTCCAAAGCGCCAAGTCTAAGGATGGTGTGAGGTGGGCTGACACTCTGCTGATGTTTTCACATCTGGAAGCAGATAATTTCTTTACTCCCTCCCTCCCTCGCTCCCTCCCTTTCTTACTTTCCTGTGTGTCTGCGTGTGCTCATGCACACCTGTGCGCATGGGTTCGCCCGTGCCCAACACACACGTGAAGGTCAGAGGACCGCCTTGGGTGCGTCTCTTCTCAGGTGTCTTCCACTTTTGTCTGAGACAGGATCTCTTGTTGGCCTGGAACTTGACCCCTGCTGGCCTGTGAGCGCCCAGAGATCCTCCTGTCTCTGCTCCCATCAGGCAATGCGGGGAATATCGGCGGTTCTGCCCCGCTCTCCTTTTGGTGTGAGTTCTGTTCGTCTGAACTCAGGTCTTCGTGCTTGTGAGGCAAGCACTTTACTGGCTGAGCCATTTCCCTAGCCCCCGAGCCAGATGATTCCCTCTTTTAAGGCAGATTTTCCCGCAAGTTACAGAATGCAGGATCTTTGGTCTGAATCTACCAGATGCCTGACCCTCATTTGTGACAACAAGAACTGTCTTCCAGACACCAGCAAACGTCTGGGAGCGGGTTGTCCAGGTGGATGACTTCTTCAGGGCCACACTAGGTAAACAGTTCAGGTGCGGTCCTCACTGCCTCCTTTTGGGTGGGTTCAAACATCTGCATAGATTCCCCTGTCATAGAGAGCCAGCTCCGTCTGCATCGAAGAGATTAGATCCAGGGTTTGTGTCTTCCCCATCCTGCCCCATCTTTCTGCATCTGTCTCTCTCCCTCTCTCTGTCTCTCCATGTTCTGCCCACCCCCATATTTTCAGATCAGATTCTAGTAGCTTCCTGAGTTATCCCTATCTTCCTTTGGGTACCTGAATCAGCCAAACTCCATCTTCCGGGATTCTCCGGTCCTGACTATAGCCTCATTTTGTGGAGAGAGTTTATTTGCTGAGGCTCAATCTGTGTTTAATTGATCTTTGGATCACTCAATACATATACCCTTTAGGTACTGCCTAAGGAAAGATTAATTTTCTGCCCCAGGAAAGATTTAAAATGGGAAAGAAATTCTAGGCCATGCTAATGTGGCTGAGGCCAAACTTAGAAGTAGCAAACTTCAGAGTTGAGAGTAAACCCATTTTGACAGAGGGAGCACAGTAGATGTTTTTAAACAAAAGAAATCTATGTACACGGTTTCAGACTGAAAAACACAAGTAATAAATTAGTAGGGAAGAGGGGATGTGGCTGATGCAGAAGGACCCAGGCCTCCAGCCCGGCCAGGAAGAGGTATACTGGTGTCACCAAGAACTGAGTGCCCGTGGCTGTGTGGCAGGTACAGCTCCAGGTACTTCACTTACACTAACTCTTCACAGCACTAACCCTGCCAGCCAGTTGCAAAGAGGTCTTGTCCCTCTATCAGAAAGATTCAGTGATTTGCTTATTGTCACACATCTAGCAAGCAGTTGAACTGAGAAGTTTAAATAACAAAAGTGTTCACATCAGAGCAAGACTTGGCCCTATAAACCCAGAGAGCAATCCTTCTCCCGGAGAGGGGCCCCATGCTCTCATCCACTATCCCCAAATTGTGGATAATGTGTTATGGTTATGAATTATACCACTGTCCTGGGTGAGGGCTCGAGTTTTAGCTTTTTAAAACTACACTGAAAGAGATGTCTGGAGAAATGCCATAGTGGTTAAGAGTTGCTGCTCTTCCAGAGGACCTGAGTTGGGTTCCCAACACTCATGTTGGATGGCTTATAACCACCTGTAACCCCAGCTCCAGGGAATCCAACACCCTCTTCTGGTCTCCATGGGAATGGCATGTACACACATACACACAGAAAGATAAAAAAGAAACCAATCTTTAGGGTTTTTACTTTATTATTTTTAATGTGTCTCTGCGTACTACCACATGTGTGCCTGGTACCTATAGAGGCCAGAAGAAGGTGTTGTTGGATCACCTGGGACTAGAGTTACAGGCAGTTGTGAGCCTCTGTATGGGTGTTGGGAGTTGAACCCAGGTCCTCTGCTAGAGCAACCAGTACTCTTAACCACTGAATCACTTCTCCAGCCCTCAAACTAAATCTTTAAAAAGTATAAACT